CGTATGTCCTCTACTTTATCGGTTTTAGTTATCATTAATGGAATTTGTAAGTAGAACAATTCGTTTTCCCAATTTTAGTCTGACAAATCCAGGTAATTGAAATTGTGCTCTAATCTTTGATCTCCCATTGACATGTGATTGCTTATTTGCCATCGTATTAGTTGCCTTAATCTCCAACTTGTGAAAACGTTAGTGGAAGAAGGAAGACACTATTTAAGTTAGATGCCAATTATATCCCTTCGTAGTTTAGGAATCTATTTTGTTTGGACAATTGATTGATGTTTGCCTGAGGTGATTCAGTAGTACGGCTGGTGAAATTGTGCACTCCAATCATGCATTGGAATCCATCGTTCTGGTTCATTTCGTGGCAAGACGAAGAGTGTGGCTGAGTGTTTCATTCGCCCTTATCTTGTTAACATAAAGCAAGCAAGCCAACTTGTTCCTGCAACGGAGTGGGCATAGCTTCTGCATTTGACAGCGAAGTCGGATGTTTCATTATTCGAAGCCATTGGTTAAGAACTTGAAGTAGCTGGTTCCTTTTGAAGACGGTATTTCTGATAGGATTTCGCAGTGTCATTCACCTGGGACTGGCCATTTTGCCTTGACGCCGTGGGTTGTTGAGAGGTGGATGGCGGAAGTAGATGTTGAGAAGTAGGAGTAGGAATATTTCTTCTTTTGCATTAGTAATTTCATTTGTTCGCCCCCTATGTTTTCAAATTACTCATGCCTTCATCGTGTTATGTGCTTTAATGACAGAAATTTTCTTTTCTTTTTTTATATATTTATCTTTTTATTAATTTTAACCTGCGTAAACATTTGATTTAAATGTCAATTATCTACTAGTACCTTAATCTATTCTTTCTCTTTTCATTTCAGCTACTCGAGTCAATTTGGGTGTAATAATTTCCCTGGTTGTTGCCTACATAATTCTTGTCATTCTTATAATTCTTCTTATTTTACTCTGGTTACGCGTCAAAACTCTCAAATCCAGTAATTCAGACTTCGATGATTCTAATAGTGTGTGAGTTATTGCTGCCTTTACTTTTTGTCTACTTCTGATGTTTTCAAAGAGTTACAACATTAATTTTCAGTCATGATTAGCTTAATTTCTCCACAAACTATGGTCTTCTCTGTGTGTATGGAAGGAACTGGTTATAAATTAGCCAATATCAATTACAAGAGTGGAAGCTAGTATTGTCAGATGGTTAATTTGATTCATTTGTAGATACTTGCCCCAGTGTCTAGCAAATCAATGCACAAAATTGTATTCATCTCCTTGAATGGACATTTAAATTCTTTTGCATTTTCATGGTGGCATTTGGCACATTCAAGTTCTAAGTACTTCGATGCCAACATCCACCAGCCTCCTCTTCATTTTGGTTGAGCTTTTATCAGATGCAGGCTGCAATTTGCCGAATTCTACGTATCTATGGTTAATAATTTCCAGATTTTAAGGAATAAAGTGAACTGGTGCTCATGTTTCCCTAAAGTGGCCAATGGAATAGAAAGGCAGTAGCATCCAATCGCAATTATGTTGTACCGTCGCTTATCGTTTAAGTTAAGGATCTTGTTGAAGACTCGCATTGGAGAAGTGAGCTAGTATTTTTTTCATTAGAATGTCCATTGATTAAATTTGAAAATTAATTTTAATTTTTCGACACTCACTGATTGAAATGTTGCCCATTCCTTCTGTCTCTAAACTGGGTAGTTGTTACTTGGTAAAGTGGCTTAGGTGTGTCAATGCAATATTGAAGGTATGAAAGGCTGCCTAGTTTAGATTGAAGTGGTTTAAGGAAAATAGAAAGGTTTTTAGTGAAAGATCATCCAATCACGGCAGAGTAGAACCATAGTGGTCCCTTTCATTTCATTTCAAGTGGGTTTATCCTGGTGTACTCCAACTCGGCTACTATGACATTTGCAGTGGAGGACCCAAAGACACTGACTTTGGGACTTTTTGATATGATTTAAATGTCTTCGTTAGAGCCGTCATTCTAGAGGGCTTCAAAAGCTAGGAAGATGTCTACTGACTCTGCTTTCATTCTTTCATTAATGTTATGACGCCTAGGCCTAAATTAATTAAACCTTTATATTGAGCAAAATTTCTAATATTCTGCCGTTGCTCACTGGTGATAGTCCATTATTGTCCCATAGTTTGTAGCCAATTGAATGAAAAGGTATCTACAATTTAATCGTTCGTCCCAGGAAGAATATAGAACAATGGTGGGATGCCTCGTTTTATTTACATTTGGTTCAACTGTTATGTTCTTTCTAGGCGAGGCATTAAATCTCCCCTTTGAAGTGGAACTAGGAGGAATGAGTCAAGTCTCCTCAAGATGCTGACTTAAAGGCACTTGTATATCAGTAGCTCATATGCGTTCCATTGTTTCTCCATCTTGAAGTGTGGACTGCTCAGTAATTGTAGGAGTGATCCACTCCATGTGTCGCATATTTTCATCGTGGATCTGCAGTTTCCGTCCATGTTTCGAAATGCATCGGTTTAATAAAGTACCTTGTCTTTCGAGTGGGAGTTGCCTCATTATTGATCGCAGACCATTTTCAGTATGAGAGCCAAGGTCTTTGGAATGTTTTCCATAGTCGACTCTTGCCCTATGTTTATTGAGCCAGTGTTAACTGATGAAATAAATTTAGATTCATTTCGTTTTCTTTTAGAGAAGACTTTGTTATCAAAGACTTTTTTATCAATTACGTCGAATCTGAAGAACCCATCACATCAAATAGTGTGTTGTAAGTCTTTTTCTCCTTTACATTTGTTATCTACTGCATATTAGGCCTTAAAGTGGAATTGTTTAATGAACTTTTGAGTAAAGCACTGAAAGTGTCTAGTTTTCGTGTGTTTTGGAAAAAGTCTAGTTATCGTCACTTCTTAACCTGAAGGGAAAGGCAATATTGCATTCCAACTCTCCTTCTGATGCATTCCTCCGAATTTGAGTGCGAAAGGTGCTCTGTTCATGCTTGACCATTTCCAAACTAGAAGAATATGTTAGATGAATTCTTCTTAACTCAGGATTGGTTGAGAAGTCTATTGAATGTGGCATGCTGGAGCGTGTCACCAACTAATTTCACTTGCAGTATTGAAGAGATCTTAATGGAAAGGTTAAAATAGGGACCTAGTTTCAAAGAAAAGTCAACTGAAATAAATTAGGTTGGAGCTTTGTATAGGCCTTACGAGATATGGCATCAGCTATTCACTCACCAAAATGGTTTTATTTGCAACTATTATTGCTGAGTACACTTCTGCAATTGTTTATCTAGTGACTACAAAATAGGGTGAAACCGACTTTAAGCTATCAATGTCTAAGTGGTACTCGAGAGAATGGACAACGAACTAATATAAATGCGCGACAATATGAGGACGACTGAGCATGAAAATCACTAGTCAGTAGACAGTCATGGGAAGTAGGCTTACTGTGGTCATGTTCCAAGAGATCCAGTGAAATGGTGTGCCATAGAAGGGTCGGTGCAGTTGGATCAGAACATAACACTAACTACAAAAACTTATTCTTAGCTTTCCCTATCTCCTGACCATTGAACAGAGCAGTTCATAAATTTCAACATTATAAATATCGATTTCAGGTACCCTCCAGTTGCCTTTGGCAATTTCAAAAACCATGTTGAATCACTTAAAGCTGAAGGTCAAATGACTAAACTATTTCAGGTAGTTTTTACATTGCCCTTTAAATAGCCTCCATAAACTTACAAATGATGTCTTCATTTCTCACTTAGTACTTGAAAGATTCGGCCACTGAACAGGAGAGAAGGTTGCAGCTTTCCGTTAATGCAGCAAACGAGATGAGATCGCGAAATAGATACAGTGATATCATACCCTGTAAGTAACTCCTATGAAAAGCATTATTTTGCAACACTCAATTGCTCAGGATTTTAAGTGTCTTTATTTTCGAAGCCATTATAGTTTTTAATTTGGTATGAGTTTTCTTTCAGATGACCAGTCGATGGTAATTCTTGGACGAAAATGGCCACTGCCTTTGACCGATCCAAAACCCAATGTTATCGTAAGTTGTTGTGTCGTTTTAACTCTTCCTCAAATAATCGCCTACGAGTTCCAACGATCAATAGTTAGACTCTTGTCTGTGGGACACGTCATCGCCTAACACGTGATCACATGCTCACCCAGCCAATGGCCAATCAGAAGCCTTCGGTGGTTTAAGCGAATCCGCCATGTTGATTATGGCTAAAATGATAATTGGTTTTATCTTCATAAAGGTTAAAATGAATATATTTAAACAAAATTGGAAGAACCCACCACTTGGTATGTTACTTGGAACATCTACCTATAATTTCTTAAATTGTTTGAGACTCCATTGATTCACCTGCGGACATTAGACATGCATGAATATTTTGATCAACAAAGAATAACCAATGACTTCTATGAAGCCCTATGAATACGAATGCTTCTCTTGGTGGTTAAAGCGCATCTCTATTTGTCCTAATTGGGATTGAATGAGATCGAGTGGCTCTAACGAACTCACATTCATATTAGGTTGCTAAATGTACTCAAAACTCAGGTTATCTAGTTCCTGTACAGTCACTGTGTAGTATGCAGTACCGACTGAGAAGCTCACGTAAGATGAGTGTAAGTTTTCCCCCAACAGACTTGAACAGTGATACAAGCATTCCCACTTTATACAATACCGAAAGGTGACTTTGTCTTTTTTTAAATACCAGAGTGGATTGTTGAGTGCGGCTTATGTGAACGCCTCGTTCGTGCGTGGTCCACTTTTTACTCCAACCGGTTGTGCAGTTCCTGCAACCTACTCCCAACCTCCTGATTACATTTGCACACAAGGACCCCTTGAAAATACTGTTGCCGATTTTCTAACTATGATCTACCAGCAACGTGTTCCTCACATAATGATGCTTTGCAGGTAATTCACTCTGATCCTCCCGAAACTGCACCATCTTCATTTGGTCTGAAGGTAGTTTCAAAGATAGAATTTGCAGATAGGATGCAAGACTTAGAAAATGGCCTTTAGGGATGGGGGTGGAGGAGGCAAAATGGAACTTTATCAAACTGTTTAGACTCTAATTGTCCATGGGGATCGGTTTTTTAAGCGAAATTTGAAAAGTAAACGTCAATTAGTTGAGTTGTGCAATCACGGACAATTGATCATAAATGTTCAGAAAATAATAGGTGTATCCGTAAACATTGAAAGCCATTGTTACTGGAAAAGACACCATATTTAGAGCCTCCAGATGCTCTTCTCTTCTCACACAGTGTTTCAGGTTTATGCAGGATAATTAACAGATCTCAGAGGGTAAGGTGATCCATCATCAATTCACCCTTCTAGTCGTTTTGAGGCAATTAGGCGTTAAGTAGTCATATCTGCAATATATTATGTTCCTTCTTCAAAGTCTAATCAAAGAGTTCAGGCTTCAATCGACTTTCATCATCATTCTTGCATTCCTGCTGCTTCGGAAAATCGATCTGTCATTTCTGGAGAAGTTTAGTCCTTGAATAAAGAGCACCAATTGTGTGGCTATTTTTGGGATGTTAGACTAGTATAGACAAACTCACTGGAGGAAGTATTGGAAAAACTTTTTCTCAGTTAGGAAACTCTTTTTGAAATCGTCATTCTCGCACTTGACCAATCGATTCGTTATCCTGGCTTAACCATGGCAGTTGGTCATCCACATCATCGTGTGAGCACAGATGATCTCTGATTTGGCTTGTGTACCGGTGGAGCACTACTGCGGATCCTTAAAC